GGTGCTGAGGGCATCCGCCAGACGTACACGCTTCCGGCCTCTTCACATGGGATTGCTGAGCGCCGCATTGGTCTTGTCATGGAGGTTGCTCGCACCTCCATGATCCATGCGGCTGCTCCCCATTTTCTGTGGCCGTTTGCGGTCCGATACGCCGCTGAGCAGCTCAACCTCTGGCCCCGTGTCTCCCACCTGGAGACCTCCCCCACTTTGAGGTGGACGGGCGAGGTTGGTGGTGATGCGTCGGCATTTCGGGTCTGGGGTTCCCTCTCTCTTGTTCGCGACTTGCCTGCGGGCAAGCTCTCTCCAAACACTCTTCAGTGCGTGTTCCTTGGCTTTCCCACCGACGCACCGCCCTGGCAGTTTTACCACCCGGGCTCTCGTCATGTGCTGTCCTCCCAGGACGTCACCTTTGACGAGTCCGTCTGCTTCTACCGCCTTCACCCCCACCGCAGTTCCCCGGTACCCCTAAACCCTAAACCCTAAAGGACGACCCCCCCCCAGGTAGCCCCCCTCCCTCCTCACGGTCCCGCTCCCTCAGGTGTGTCTCAGGTAGACCCACCCCCCTTGGTTGAGCCTTTGGAGGTGTCCTCAGACACCTCTGGCCCAATTGAGGGGGGTGACCCGACTCCTGCTGCCACAGTGACCCCTCGCCGCTCTGCACGCTTGGCTGTCCCTCCTGGGTTTCCGCCACGACCGTCTTCACCGCCGCTGCAGCCTGTCGCTGTGGACTCTGGTGCTGCAGGAGGTGGTACCACTGGGGGTACTGGTTCTGGGGGTGTTGAGTGTCCTCTGGGTACAGGAGGTACTGGAGGTCCTGGTGCTGGTGGTCCTGCTACGAGTCGGCAGGAGGCTCTCTCGTCGGAGCGGTTGCGCGAGTGGGCTGTCCAGTGGGGCAGCCCTGGTGGTGGAGCTAGCCGTCTTAGATCTGGAGGTGCTGGCGCTGGAGGTGCTGGAGGTTCTGCTACTGGTGGTACTGTGGTTGCTCGTACTGGTGGTACTGTGGTTGCTCGTACTGGTGGCTCTGGTGCACGTCGCCAGGCGTCTCTCTCGCCGGAGCGGCTTCACGAGTGGGCTGTCCGTTGGGGCAGTCCTGGTGGTGGCGCTGGACGTGCTGGAGCTGCAGGTTCTCGAGGTGCTAGCCCTGGAGGTGCTAGTGCTGGTGTTCCTGGTACTGGAGGCACAGGTGCTGCTGGAGGTGCTGGAGGTTCAGGTTCCGGAGGTGCTAGCCCTAGAGGTGCTGGTGCTGGTGTTCCGGGTACTGGAGGCACAGGTGCTGCTGGAGGTGCTGGAGGTGCAGGTGTTGCTGGAGGTGCTGGAGGTGCTGACACTGGAGGTACTACTGGAGGTACTACTGGAGGTGCTGTTGGAGGTACTGGAGTTAGTGGTGCTAGTCGGCCGGAGTCGCTCTCGCCGTTGCAGCTTCGCGAGTGGGCTGTTCGTTGGGGCAGTCCCGGTGGTGGAGCTGGGGGCACTGGTTCTGGGGGTGCTGTTGCTACTGGAGCTGGAGGCACTGGTTCTGGGGGTGCTGTTGCTACTGGAGCTGGAGGCACTGGTTCTGGGGGTGCTGTTGCTACTGGAGCTGGAGGCACTGGTTCTGGGGGTGCTGTTGCTACTGGGGAGGGAGGTTCTAGGGGTGCGACTACTCAGCCGCAGCCGTCTGCGCTTCTTCGCCTTCTCAGTCTCCCGTCTGCTGCCACTGAGTTCTCGGTTCCTGGTAATACTCCTCCCCTACTGTTCCCACCGACTGACTAGTCTCAGCCACAGCTACTGCCTGGCTCCCCGCTGCCTGCTCCTGCTCCTCACACTGAGGTCACTGCGTCCCTGACTGCGCGTCGTGAGCCTGAGACTCGTGCTTCCACTCCTGAGCGTCGTGAGCCTGAGACTCGTGCTTCCACACCTGTTCGCGATCGTCGTGTCGTCCGTCCTCGTGCTCCAGCTGTGCCAGGCACTCACCGTATGGCACTTCGTCCTTCCTCTGTTCCACAGCGTGTTGTCTTACCGTCTCCTCCTGCGTCTTCTCTTCCTCACGTTCCTGACCCTGAGTCAGACCTTGTCCGGGCCTCTTAGTCCTTTTGAGGGAGACCCGGATGCACTGGACATCCCGACCCCACGCACTTACGCAGAGGCGATCACGGGGGACTACTCCTCTCAGTGGCAGATAGCCATGGACGCACAGATGGCTTCCTGGAAATCCAAAGGCACCTACGTCGACGAGGTTCCCCCACCTGGGGCGAACATAGTCGATGGAATGTGGATTTTCAGGGTGAAGCGGCTGCCGGGTTCTCCGCCTGCCTTCAAGGCGCGTTACGTTGCTCGAGGCTTCAGTCAGCGTGAGGGGGTCGACTTCTTTCATACCTTCTCCCCCACCCCGAAGATGACCACTCTTCGGGTGCTACTGCACGTTGCAGCACAGCGCGACTACGAGCTGCACTCCCTCGACTTCTCGACAGCCTTCTTGCAGGGTAGCCTTCACGAGGCTATCTGGTTGCGCCGTCCACGTGGCTTCACTGGGTCGTTTCCTGAGGGTACCAGTGGAGTCTTCGGCGACCAGTCTACGGCCTTCGACAGGCACCCCGCGAGTGGCACGACACACTGAGGACACGACACACTGGAGTCTTCGGCGACCAGTCTACACTTGCGGCTCTTGGCTTCGCTCCCTCGACTGCTGACCCTTCGCTGTTTCTGCGCACAGACACTTCTCTGCCGCCGTTCTACATTCTTGTGTACGTTGACGACTTAATTTTTGCTACTGCTTACACTGAGGCTCTGGCCTTGGTGAAGGCGGAGCTGCAGGAGAGACACACTTGCACTGACCTGGGTGAGCTGCGGAGTTACCTTGGCTTGCAGATCACCCGGGACAGAGCACGCCGCACCATCACCCTGACTCAGTCACACATGGTGCAGCAGGTCCTTCAGCGCTTCGGCTTCACGTGGTCCTCGCCACAGCCCACTCCTCTGTCTACCGGCCACTCGCTCTCAGCTCCACCTTCGGACGAGTCCGTAGAGCCAAGTGGTCCGTACCCAGAGCTTGTGGGTTGCCTCATGTACTTGATGACGTGCACACGACCTGACCTCGCGTACCCTCTCAGCCTCCTGGCTCGCTACGTGGCACCTGGTAGACACTGAAAGGTGCACTTTGATGCTGCGAAGAGGGTACTGCGTTACTTGTGCAGTACATCGGGCATGGGGCTCGTGCTTGGAGGACCGGGTTCAGTTGTTCTCACCGGCCACTCAGTCGCTTCTTGGGCTGACGACCAGGCGACTCACCGGTCGACACAGGGGTACAACTTCAGTCTCGACGCTGGTTCTGTCTCGTGGAGGTCCCCTCGCTCTTATTCTGTACTTAGTTCCAGCTGTGAGGCCGAGATCTACGCTGTGGCTATGGCTGCACAGGAGCTACGCTGGCTGACCTACCTGCTGACCGACTTGGGTGAGCGGCCTCGTTCTCCTCCCGTTCTGTACGTCGACAACAAGGCCATGATTGCCTTGTGTCGGGACCAGCGACTGGAGCACAGAGCAAAGCACATTGCTCTCCGTTACTTCCTCACGCGAGAGCTGCAGCAGCGTGGTCAGCTTCGTCTTGCTTACCTGGCCACTCGGGCCAACACTGCTGATGTCTTCACCAAGGCCTTTGGGTCTAGTGATCATCAGCGTTTCTGCACTGCTCTTGGGCTTGTGCCCACTTTGCCTCACTTGCTTGTCTCTTGATCTTGCTCTGTACTTTGATATATAAACCTGCATGTTTCTGGTTGCTAGGTTGTAATCATTGTACTGCTTGTGCTATTATAACTCTGCATGTGAACTTTCCTTGTGACCGCTTGCTTGTGCTCGGAATGTGTGGTGTCCTTGAGATCCACCCTGGGCTTTGTTTTTTGTTTCTTCTCTTGACTGGTCTTGTGACTGATTGTTGTCCCCCACTTAGCCTATGGGGGTGTGTCAAATGTAATATCTCACTGTAGGCTTTATTGGGGTACTCATTAGGGGTACAACCCATTAGGGTTTCCTACTTGTATGTTTGTACCCCTCCATTCTAGTTCATTCACTGTTTCCTGATTCTGACATGAGCGCGGGTTTTCGCGCCAGAATATTATCAAATCGTGGCAGCGGGGGAGCCTCAAAGACGCCCGCCTTGAAGACCTCATCACACTGTCTCTTCTCGAGTACGAGCCAGACTACGATGAAGTCGTGCAGATATTGCGCAGCTACAAGAAGCGCCGCCCATTTGGCAATGTGGCAGCAGTCAGGGCCCTCGTTATCAGGGCAAAACATCCTGATTACCCTGATTTCAGGATGCGGTTTTCAATTTGCCCTGTAATTTCAGAATGCTGGTCTTTTGTACCCTGAGCTCTCAGGATGTTCTTATATGATGTGCCCTGAATTTTCAGGATTGCCGTAGTGTTTTTCCCTGTAGCGTCAGGATGAATATCGAGGATTGCCCTGACGCGAATTTTGGGGGAGGGTAGGGGAGGGAGGGGGGAGGGGGGGAGGGGGAGAGAGGGGGGGGGGGGGGGGGGGGGGGTGGGGGGGTGGGTGGTTTTTCCCTGAAATTTTCCCTGGGGATTCTTCCACCGTGTATTTTTCCCGCCTTCTTCCGATCGCTTGACACGCGTACGCACCAACCAACCAACAACCAAACCAAACCCTTCGGATCTCTCAATGAGCTGGGCTGGGAGGAGGTCGAGCACGGGAACCTTGTGCCTTTCCCTCCAACTCTCTCTAGTGTTCCTGCTAGAGTAGCAGCGCTGCTGAAGCTCGGCTGGCTCTCTCGTTCGTTAGTAGTCAGTCATGCCCAACGCGGATGATGTCGCGGCGTCAGTCAGGCCTAGCTAGAATTACTAAAAGCAGGACCCTGATTGATGTTTTTTTTGCCCTGAGAGGTCAGGATGTAATTCTGCCTAAGCCCTGAAAAATCAGGATGGCTTTAAAAAATTGCCCTGAAAAATCAGGGCATTTTTTCGGATTCTGCAGAGTTACCCTGAGGCATCAGGATGCCCTAAATCCTAGGGAGGGCCCTGGCAGCAGCTCCAGTAAGAGAGGGGGAGGGCAGTGGCAATGGCAAGGGAAAGGAGGCAGATGAGGAGGCGGAGGAGTTGGAAGAACCATAGGCTAACTGCAGTGATGATGATGATTAAATGAACCCTCTGTTGCTGCTGATACTAGCTAGCTTGCTTGCTAGTAGCTAGTGTTATCTTATTTAAAGACCTTCATTATCATATCAGCCTTTGCAAAAAGGGAACACTGATGCATCAGACTTTTTTTTTAAGGTAACACTGAACTTTCAGGGGTTTTTTTTTTTGGGGACACTGTCGATCAGGGATTCTACACAGAGGGACCCTGATGCATTAACGTGCGTAAAAGTGAATCATAGGCCCTGCTGAGATACGGCACGGTATTAATATACCGTAAGTTGGCAGTGTTCGCCACTTCGCGCGTCACCTTTTACCAAACCATCACTGCTGGACTTGGCCGAGTCGGCCTACGCTTCGGGAGTAGCCCGAGTCTCGCTGCCCGCATTGCACTACCTAGCTCGCAAGCCTGCGTTACCGTTTGCTCATACCAGCTTCCCTTACATTTGTACAGTACTTGTTTGACCCTTTAGTGCAATCCTCTCTTGCTTCATCCAACTTGTGGTTGATGAATCAACTCGTGCTTTCTCTACTCTTGCCAACAGATTTGCCGCCAGAAATCAATGAATGCCCTACAACCCAGGCAGATGCCTGCAGAAGCAAAATAATGCATGGTTAGCTATAGCAAGTGAAGCAGCATATTGTACAGGAGCTGTGTCCACACATCTAGAGGGCCAGGAAGGCAATAGTGAAGGCAATCATTAGGCGGGGACATGTGGCCATCCCCTCGTAAACTTGTCATTGGATCAACGTCCATGAACACACCTCCTACAGCCTCCACCATCTGCCTCGCAAGCTTGTTCTGCCTGCCAAACTCCCCCCAGTGAAACGGCAACGATGATGGGTCCTGCGGCTCCTTGAGAGGAGCCGTGATGTTCTCACAGTGCGCATGCCCAGGCGGCGTGCTCCTGTAGATGATCAGCAGCTCCGGTGCCGCCTCTCGCACTCTCGTAAGCGTCCTGTTCAGCTGCTCCGTGAACTCCTCATCCTCCACATAGTGCGCCCCGCGGTTAAGCACAAGCACGGCAGTGTCGCTCCCCGGAAGCACATCGTCGAACCAGGGGAAGGAGATCATGCGGGGGAAGTCGAGGCGGCGCGTGCTGTTGGTGTGCAGCACGTCGTTGCGCACCATGGCGATGGTGGTGTTGCCGTACGACACGCTGTCACACAGCATGTGCCCGTGCATGTCTCGCATCACCGACTGCTGCACCTCGGCTGCACACACTGCTAGCTTCGCCTCCTCTATCTTGGTAGGCAGGGGCGGCACCAAGGACTGGGGAGCAGCAGACAGGGGTTCACCACTGCGCCCATCTCCTTTATCGCTACTCGCCCTGCTGTTTCTACCCAGCGTGCTAGCGCTGCCTGTGTCACCTGCGTGCGTAGCACGGGCGCCTGCAGCAGCTGCGGCAGCGCACATCCTCATGTGGTTGCGGAAGGAGAGGAACGCCAGGGAGGTGAGCGAGTCCCCCACCATGAGGATCTTCCCCCGCCCGTTCGTCAGCCCCGCTGCCACCTGCGCGCACTCCACGTCCCGCCACGCCACCGCGCACCCCCCCTCAGCCCCGCGCGCGGGCAGGCGCCACCTGTACTTGACCGCGGGGCGCACCTGCCACTCCTCCGCCCCCCTGCCCTCCATCACCACCCTGTCTGCCGCTGCGTACGCTACGTGCTTGTACCTGCTGCTGCTGCCGCTGCTGCCGGTGCTGCCGCCGCCGCCGCCGCCGTCGCTGCTGCTGCTGCTGCTGCTGCTGCTGTTGCTGCTGCTGCTGCTGCTATTGCCATCCGCTGTCTCTCCAGCAAACGCGATGCTACGAGGAGCAGACGACGCTGTTTTAAGAGCAGGCAAGGGCGCGACCCCGTTAGATGCCACAGCAACTGCTATAGGTGCGGCCCTGGCAGCACGAGTGGCATCGACGGCCGCTGTTTCGGCTGTATCTTCCTCATCCTCTGGCAAAGCTGCTTCGTCGTCAGCGCCACCAGAGGGAGTGGTGGGTGGAAACGCGTCGACGGACAGCAATCTGCGGAGCGGGGGGGACGATGGCGCGGAAGGCGGGGCCGGCGCTTGCGTTGAGCTCGGGAGATCGGCGGACGCGGTGGCGGCAACGGGGGGGTTTGCACCAGCGCTCGGCGCAGCAGCTGCGGGGGATGGTTGGGAGGTGTGCGCGGCGCGATTTTCCCAGAGCCACGGTTGGTCGCACTGCCAGCCGCCGTGCTGGCCTGCGACGGCCCACGGCAGCAAACGTGGCGTGCTGTCGAATTGCCAAGTGCCCCTCTCGTTGACGCACTCAAACCCGCGCCTAAATGCGAGATCAGCGTCGGCGGAAGTGAGGCGGGATCCGGGAATGGAGGAAGGCGCAACGTACTCCCGGTGGGCGCTGCTGCTGCTGGCCATGGCGGGGATATCAACGGCTCCTCCGCCGCTGCTTCTTCTGCTGTTTCTGCCGAGGCTCCAGATGCTGCTGGTGCCCCCGGCGGGGTTGGACGTGACGGGCGCTGCGAGAAGAGTGGATATGCTGGGATTGCGCACGACCAAGGCGCACCACGCGATTGCCATGAGACCGCCGAATAAGATGAGCACGTGGGCGAGCCGCGTGAGCACGTGCGCGACGCCCGTGAGCACGTGCTCCGCTGGGTGCTTCTCGGAATAGAACCCGTTGCCCTTGCCGTGCGCCCCGGGCAGTAGATACGCCATGGGCGGAGGCGCGAGGGCGAGCGAGCGGGTTGCGGAGAGAAGAGCGACGGTGAAAGGGGAGGCGGAACGGTGTAAGGGTGAACGAGGGAAAGGCGAGGAAAAGTCAGCGGCGGCAATGCAGATGGCTGATATATAAGGAAACGCGCGGATAGCTGGGAGGCAAGGTACGGAAGTCCATGTCTTGAATTGCGAGAGAGGATACTACGCAGATTACCGCAACACGCGAAACACTTGTGACTGATGCACCACCCTCGCCGAGGGCCTTAGTGGCCGAACACGTGGAGCGGAGACACGGGCGAGTTTTATTTGTTCTGTGCGCCCAGCGGCGGTCTATCTGGTGTGCTGTGCGTGACGCTAATCTGCCTAGGGTGTGCGAAGGTGTGCGTTGCATTGCGTTGCGAGTGCCTGCCTACCTCAGTTTCACACACACACACCCAGGGGAGGATGCCATGCACCTGTGCTATGATGCATACAGAACAAGGAACGGACGAGGGGTGATTGGGGGAAGGTAGTTGGAGGGAAGGGGGTGTGTGAAGGGCAGGTTTGCTTGCTGGGCGGTGCGATGGTGGGTGGGGGGGGGGATGTGAAGAGACAGGCTGCGCGTGCGCGCAGAGCTGCGCAGCTCAGGACGAGGGGGCGAACAGATGCTTCCCCCCTGAAAGGGTGACGTGTGTAGCGCTCGACGACGCCGGGGGATTGGATGGAAGGCGCGTGGTGGTGGGGAAAGGGGGAAGAATAGAAGCGCACAATGCCCCAGAGGGTCGCTGCTAAGTCGGCAGGCTCGACTCGGCAGCCTCTTCCTCCACCTTACGTGGCGCCTCCCTGTAAAGGACGACCTTGTAAGGGGCGCTCTAATGGGAAGGCGGCTCGTTCTTTGAAGCTGCATGAACACGACATGCTATAAATTGGTTATAATCAACACAAAATGAGCATGTTCATATTCAACCTATTGTGGCTATTTTGATCATTTATACTCAACCCAGAATTATCTTTCTTGACGATTTCCCCTGGTAGAGTCCGTTCGTATGATGAGAAATTCGCTCCACAATCCTCCATTTTTTTCGTTGAATCCGCTTCGTTGGATTGGTTTCGTCGAATCTTATTTCTGTCGTCCCGATTGGAGTCAAGATCCACTCCACAGCTACGGTCCCGAAATGCTGAGCGTGCGGATTTCATTTCGTCGCAGTCGATGAGTCAATGTCATGGCTTGCCGCGAAAAGAACACGTAAATTTGTGTTCCATCAGGTCGGCGCTCGTGGGGGTAGCCAAGCGTCCTCCATGTCGTCTAGCTCGGCCATGAAGTCGTCGTGTTTCGATCGTGATTACGTCGAAACGTTCTTGTAATGAATTAGAATTCATTACTCTAGAGTCTGCCCTTAGCGAGGACAACCCCGAGCACTTCGCGTCAATTTGGGTTCGGCCTATACTTCGGCCCGAACCACATTCCGAGTCGCCCCGCACCAATCGCGACACTTCCAACCCACGCACGTCCCGAGGTCCTCGCCTAACACATTTTCGTCCTATAAATGCCCGTTCCTTTATTCCACATTCTGTAACCACAGTCTCTTTATTAACTAATCCGCGCACTCTGTTTAGTACAACTCATAACACTTGGTATCAGAGCTACTTTCCCAGCTCACCCCGCTTTTTAGAGTGTATTACCCCTTGATATACACCACCAAATCCTAATACTGCAGAAGAAATAAGATGAAGAACTCCAGATACAAGGAGAGGTATCAACTACTTCTCCACCTGGCCCTACACTCCAACCTAGGGTAGCCAAGTGAGGTAATAAGATTAGACCCTGTTCATACATGAGTTTCTCTTGCACGAAGTGAGCTACTTCGAACAGGTTCGTAGCTCCTGGCCAGAAGACGATCAATCCTGCATGAGCTACGTGAGCACATAATAGCTTACCATATAGATTGATTAGTCGAGCATTACCAGACCACGAAGCAAAACCGGTGGTCTCTTCACGACCACCTACCGCCAAAGTTCCATTAAAAAGCGTTTCCACGTGTAGAACCTCCTCGAGAAATACAAGGTTTTCATGAGGCTGATCTTGAGCCGCCATCCAAGCACGGATACCTTCATCTAGAAGGATATTCTTAGGATATTCTCGGGGGAGGAGGGGGGGGGGGGGGGGCACGAGCAAAGATGCAGTGGGGTCCAGGAGCTGCGCGCTAGCCGGCCAGGAGAACGGGTATTTGTCAGAATCCCAACCACTAGACCATTGGGATAAAAGGGCTTGTTTGTGTAGCGGGTCCGTGCGCCCATAACTCCCCTGGCAAACGCGCCTGTAACCCCCCCTAGGATCGATCGGGTATCTCACAGTGCAGCTCTACTGACACCCCCCCACACTGGGAGGCCCTGGACTGAGCACAGCGGCAACAGCCTACATGTGCATACACAGGGATTCGAACCCGAGACCGCTCTGATACCATGTCAGAATCCCAACCACTATACGACTGGGATAAAAGGGCTTGTTTGTGTAGCTTGTCCGTGCACCCATAACCCCCCAGGCAAACGCGCCTGTAACCCCCCCTAGGATCGATCGAGGATCTCACAGTGTCGCTCTACTGACAGTAGTTGCTCCTTGCGGCCATGAAATTAACAGGTGCTCCTCGGCACAGCCGAATCTTTGCCCTTGACGGTCGGGATTGACCGTAACCTCCCTCCCCTCGGGTGGCGGACACCTATGGTTGCCGTCACAGTAATTACGTGAGTTATCGTTTTCGTCAATTTCTGATGCGATTCTGCGTGGAAGTTGACGTCGACGGGATCGTCGTCACTGCACGTCCGAGATTGTCGGAGACGAACGTGGTGCGAGTTAGCGTCTTTACGTGGTCGTCAACTGCGTGAGAAAGTCGGAGTTAATGCGTGCGGCAAGTGGCGTCAGGCTTTTTCGTCACGTTGCGCACGGGTGTTTCGGACGTCTTCGGCAAGTGACAAGCGTCGTCACTGTGCGCGAAGATTTCGGAGTAGCAGCACGTGGGAAACGACTGCTGGCAGAGCAAACCAGGCGCATGGTGATTTGCGTCAGAAAAAGCAGCGACGAGGAGAGGCGGCGTCACTACTGAAGCTTGGCGCCATGTGGCGACACCAGATTCCAACCAGAGTAGAAGGAACATTCAAATGAGTGAAATTCGGTTGCTGAATTTCACCCCCATCAAAATGTTACTCGAACATTCGCGACACATATTGTAGTGACTAGATGTTACTTGTGCGATACGAGGAATTTCAGTTGCTATGAATGTGTTCGACTTGTATGCATGTTTCATACTGAAATCGTGAATAAGTGAAATTCCAGATGTCAGAATGTTATCTTATGCTCTAGCCTGTAGTGGGGTGCTCTATAGCGAGTACAACCCTTCTAGGGTTTGCTATTTGTATCCTCATTCTTGCTAGTGCAATCCTCTTCTGCTCTTCTTTCTTCTAAACTTTAACATGCTATCAGAGCAGGTCGATCCCCTTGGATCGATCCTGTGGGTGGGCTCACCACCTTGTTGCTTCCGCTGCAACTACCTTTCACTACTCGCTGAGCCGCACGCCCCCTGGCGTGCGGCACTTTTTCTGCCCGCCGTGCGCCCCGAGGCGCGCGGCGGTTCTCTGCCCGCTGTGCGCCCCGAGGCGCGCGGCGGGCTTATGCCCCGTCGTTCGCCGCGTCGCCCTCTGGTGGCGTCGCGACGGGCGACGGGGACCCGTCGCGACGGGCGACGGGGACCCGTCGCGGCGCACCGCCCCCGGCCCCGGCCCCGTCCCCGCCTGCGGCCCCGGCCCCGTCCCCGCCTGCGGCCCCGGCCCCGTCCCCGCCTGCTGCCCCGTCGCGCTGCCCAGGGGAGCCGCGCGCGGCCCCTGCTGCCCCGTCGCGCGGCCCCTGCTGCCCTGTCCCGGACCTGCCCCGGCCCCGACCTGCCCCGGCCCCGACCTGCCTCGGCCCAACTCCCGTCGCCCGTCGCGGCGCCCTGGGGGGGGCCGCTCTACTGGGGGGCCGCGCGTTGCCCCCCCCCCCCCTACCTCCCTACCCTGTTTTTAGGGTTTGGGGGGTGGCGGTTGGGGGGTGGCGGTTGGGGGGTGGCGGGTGTGTGGCGTCGCCTGCTCCTCCTCCTCCTTCGTCTCCCACTGCTGCAGCTAACGCTGAGGGGGGGTGGACGTGTTGGAGCCGGTGGAGTGGTACTAAGGGGGGGTGAAGGGGGAGTGGAGCTAGCGGTGTAGCAGCGGGTATGTGCCAGGGGGGAGTGGGATAGTTTGGGGAAGCTGAATGGAGGTTGCCGTCGTGTCGCCAGCAGCACCTGTATTCCGGGGACTTCGTCCGGTAGCCCAGTCGTAGCCAGCTGTGCCAGCCGCCCGTGGGTCCGTTGCTCGTCTGCCGCTACTTTAGCCGCGGGGCCTGTTACTCCTGTAGTCCGGGCGCTTAGTCCGGTAGCCGCTGTGCCAGTCTGCCTCCTGTTGCCCGTGTGTCTGCAGCTTCAGCCGTCGCCTCCTATCTCCTCTCCTCTCACTCTCTCTCCTCCTCCTCACTTGCCCGTTGTGACTACCACTAGCTTTGCTCATAATTGTGAACTTAAACTATTGCTTCTTGAACTTGTGCTCAGAATGTGTGGTGACATTGTGATCCACCCTGAGCTTGTACTCCCTTGCTTACTCTGCTGATTACACCCCACTTTGGCTATGGGGGTGTGTCAGAATGTTATCTTATGCTCTAGCCTGTAGTGGGGTGCTCTATAGCGAGTACAACCCTTCTAGGGTTTGCTATTTGTATCCTCATTCTTGCTAGTGCAATCCTCTTCTGCTCTTCTTTCTTCTAAACTTTAACACCAGAGAGCTACAATCCTTCATTCCAAGAGCACTACCTAGCACATAAACGACTATATGTCGCTCCATACTTAGGCAATCGACGTGATCTACGGCTCGTTGGAAAGCTAACAGATTGTTCTACTAATTAGTACAACTCCTAGTTCCTGCCAAAGAGAGGAGAAGCCTCTACAGCAACGACTGCC